ATCATCATCATCATCTCAATCATCATCATCGTCATCTCAATCATCATCATCATCATCTCAATCATCATCTATCATCATCATCATCATCTCAATCATCATCTCAATCATCATCATCATCATCATCATCATCATCATCATCATCATCATCATCATCATCATCATCATCATCATCATCATCATCATCATCATCATCATCATTTTTTCATGCGAGTACCCTTTTAATAAGGCAATAAGGGAACTGATGCAGATCATGAGAATCATAGCAATCAACAAGAATATCACATAGGCTATATCAAGATCATCGGGTTCCATCGATCCAACCGCTGCAACCAGGAATGAGATGCACAAACCAAGATCACCCATAGTTGAGAATAGATGCGAGATCCATTCAAACCAATCAATCTGTGGAGCCCGTGGGATCGAGATGATCAATGAATAAAGATTCGGATCCCAATCGTATAAGTCCCATACCACCATGCATGCTTGCAAACCCGCCCTCTCAAGCCCACCTGCTCCTACCCCCATCGGCATGCCTTCATGCGCCGATCATGGCAGGTTATTGGTGTCTCCATCTTCTTGCAGCCTCATGTCCTTGAGGTCCTGTCTTGCCTCCTTCACCTCTCAGCTCCAGCTGTACCATCTCTTAGCTTCCGGTGACCTCCCTCCCCCTTGTTGGACCACCCCGCATACCTTCTCTCCCCTCGGAAGAGGAGAGAGGGAAAGAGCAGGACAGGGAGAGGGAAGGGAGAGGTCAGGTGATGTGAGGGAGAGACAAGGAGAGAGAAGCGATAGAGTCAAAGAGGAAAGAGAAGGCCCGGAAGGGAAGGAGAGCCTCAGAAGGAGGAAGGAGGGAGGAAGAAGGGAAAGAGGGAAAGATGAAGGGATAGAGCCTCGGAGGAGGAAAGGGAGGAGTTTACCTCCCAGTAAACTTAGAGACTTCTATCTTCTGCTTCTCTATCTTCTTCATCCATATTTTACTCGATATCAAGATGTAAACTTCCGGATGACCAAAAAACCAAAAAAGATGTTGATATAAAACGGGGTCCCCTCCTCCTGAAGGATCAAAAAAAGTTGTGTTAAAGTTTCTATCACAAAGTAGCATTGTAATAGCACCAGCACAAACAGGCAAACATAATAATAACAAAAACGCAGTAATTAATACGGACCAAACAAATAAAGGAATGCGATGTAAACTCATACCAGAAGTAAACTAAAAATGCCGGTAGTAAATCAACGGCTCTTCCTCCTCTAACTAAAACAATAGAATGTTCTTGTAGATTGTGTCCTTCATTGACAATCTTTGTGTTGTGTATACTAGCCGCCAACATCATGAGTCTGGAAGCGAATTGGTTGATTCATGACCTCGAAACAAGGAAGAGGAGGAAAGAAACCTCAGCCGGAAAGGAGCCCTCAGCCTCGATCTAAGCAATCAGGAGCATTTCGTCTGAATCAAATCCGCAAGGCCTATGCGCACAAGACGGATACCGGGCCGTCTGGGTGATGTCATCCAACTCCCTTTTCCTTGTCAACATTCCAGGATCGGTTGCGGCGGTGGGGAACGAAGCGTTCCTTCTTGATAGCTGCCACTGACGGTAGATTGCAGCCGCTTGTAGACGCGAAGAATCGGCAGGTCAAAGACTTCAAACAGGTCAATGGTGTCACGTTCAGCAAATTCACACCTGACATTAAGAAGCGTTCGATCATCCTTGCAAGCGAAAACCTTCTGGTGCTTTCCTTCTACGAAATAACGCCCGATTTCTGCCCAGCGTCCCGATCGATGGCAACTACACTTCTACACAGATTGTTAGTACGATCCCTACAGCCCGCCGGTCAGCGGAAAATCTGCACCGGCCCTTAGCCCTTCGCTTGCTTCCTGTCAGATCCTGTTCTGCGTGACAGAGGGCTTTGCTTTCAAGACCAATACAGAGATCTATTACGAGCCAAAGAAGGGCTACTTTCTTTCTTGCTACTGCCTTCCTCAGGGCTACTACGGCAATCCGATCAATCCCAACAACAACGTCCCCTGCACGCGCTGTCCGGCAGGCACGTACTCCTTCAACAGCACTTCGTCTAATGCCTGGAAACAGCACGTCGTCCAATGCCTGGAAACAGCACGTCGTCCAATGCCTGGAAACAGCGGTTGAACACGTCGTCCGTCGGCAGCACCTACTGCGTCTGCAACAAGAGCTACGCACCTTACGAACTGCGGCCTGATTCGAATCCGGAAGGGCTGCCGGTCGTCTACACCGGGCCGGATACGTCCGAAGTTCGATGCACGATCGTTGGAAGCGGGACTGGAAGATATTATTCCTGCGACCTTGCCTGCGTTTACACCCGCGGTTCTTGCGAACAAACATCGAGGAAATGCCTAGGAGAGTCATGGAGATGAAGGAGGTCCCCTCGGTGCCTTCGGTGCCGATGTATGTCTCGACATTCTGCTTCTTGGCCTCCTCCATCTGTTGAATAAACCATGCTCTCGACTCTGAGCTCCATTCGCTCAGAGAGTCCGAGGCTTCTCGGAACAGGTCGCGTCTCGCCTGCCGACATGTCGAGCGGATGGCTTCAGCGATACTTCACCCTCTCGACGAGGCAGCAGGTTGCGAATGCTCTCATGATACTGTAGTACCTGACGCCACGAGACAGTCCTCGGAGGTGGGCCGGGAGTCCGCCGCAACCACTGTGACATCAATGGGACCTGACGGTACGGTACTGAGGCGGGCTCCCGGAGGCTCCGCCGAGGCGGCTTGGCCCGCCGTGCTCACCTGCCCGGTGGCGGCGCCCCGGAGCCCACTGACCTGACCGACCGTACTGAGTGGCGACTGTACGGCCCATTGAGTCACGCCGTCACGGCCGCCGGGCCCGGGGGCCGGGCCCGTGCACTGCGGCACGGTGAGTAGCCTGGCCCTAATTTACAGTTATATAAGACAGTTACACCAGTCGTTGTGCGTCGTTACATCCCAGCAGGATTCGGGATGGCGGGAGGGGCGAGGGGCGACGAGGCGAAAGATGGCAGGGAGAAGTCGGGAGGAGAGAGAGCAGTGCATGACAGGATGTCCTCTTGTTGTGCCCGTTGCAAGGTGAATGGTTGCATGTCGATCTAGAGGAGGCAGCTGGATACGCATGCCTATGTTGATGTGATGCGAGGTGGGGCGGGGGGGGGGGGTTGAAAGAGAAGCCGAGCAGTGGAACTATCGATAGGCAGCGAGTGATGACGGACAATGGTGCGAGTGCGATCATGAGTACAACGGTGGTCATGGTATGGCAGGCGAGAGAGATTCTTTTCACTTTTATGTTGCGAGACCTGTATACAGCACCGATTGTAGCCGAGAAATGTATTCTAGGGAGGAGCGAAGGGATATATGTAGCAGGCTGGAGGCAGATAGTCACAATGAGCAACAGAGCGTGCTGAATGAATGTTGTGGAAGATGATGGCATTCTATGCATCTGCACGGAGGGATTGAGATCGGATTGAACTACTTCATGGAGCTTGCAAGGCCGTAAAGACATCAGTCCCTCCTCGCGGCCTCAACCATGGCGTTCATCTTATCATCGCCCAAGGTGATTGCAACATGGAACATGAACTGAATGATGGACGATGGTGCTCAGATTCTTGACTGCGAACCCAATGACGAGGTGGTGAAGAGCATGAAGTTCGACAAGGTATGTGCGATGCCATGCTTGCTGCGTCCTGTTTGTCACTTGCCGAGTGCAGACGAACAAGTTCCTGGCGTCTCTGACTCGCTCTTGTCTCTCCATCTGGGGAGGAAAAATTGAGAGGGTTTGCAACTGAGACCATCGTCAGAAGGTTAGTGATTCTCATGCCTAGGTCCTACTTGCTCAGCATATCAGGAGCAACATGGATGGGATGGATGGGAATCGAGAAGTAAAACTTGCTATCTCTTGTCTGAGTATAGAATAAGTGTGGAACAAGGTGATATGGAAGCACGGCAGCACGGAGCTTGCTGTGCTGACAGGTGAAGGACTTGAGAACGTTGCGCTATCGCTTACTAGTATGGCTGGACCATGAGCAGAGAGTGGAAGTGTTCTTTTCTATTCACTCATCAAGGTGACTTGCTCTTTTCTCTCCAAGCAAGTCACGCGTCGCTCAGATCCCGTCATACTCCATCCCTGCCCTGTTGGGAGACATAGGTGCGCGAGCACAAGGCGGGCGAGCGGAGAAAGGGCTGTTGGCTAATTCGAGTGATGCAGATCAGTACACCTTGCAGCTAAGGCACCGGATGCCTCCCCCCGGTCGACTGCAAGCTTGTGTCAGGCCTTGTGGGTCTGATCTTGGATCCAGATGGCAAGTTTATCTCTTGCATAGCGAGGGACAAAGTTGGGATCGTTTGCGCGACGTCAGAAGTGAGAATGTTCCTTCATCTCCTCTTTCCCTTGTCTCACGGTTTCGTTCAGGGAGACCTCCTCCGAGTGTCGTGGTCCGGGTATGTGATGATGCACATGGATGTGAGCGCTTGCTCTGCTCTGTCCCTCGGTTCTCATGTTCACTCTCCTTAGCTCGGAGATCGTCGCATGCAAGCCCCGACAGGGGACGAAGGTAGACCTTGCATGGACCTTGGCAGAGCTGATCCTCCCTTCACAGACGCAGGGATCGACGAAGAAGAAGGTTCGCATGCTCCGGGAGCCGCGAGGCCGAGCAGGAGGAGCTCGCCGGTCAAGTCTGCCAAGGACAGGAGGCCGATACCCAACGGCTACATCCGGCATCCTGCCGCTGACAGTGAGGCGGACTCCACATTCTACAAGGTCCTCCGGCTCTACTACGAGAAGGTCCACCCAGAGAAGGTTCAGCAGGACCCGGAGTTCCTCCCCCGCATCTGCAGGGAGTGGAAGGGACGCGAGGCAGAGCTCGTCGCCCGCCTCTACCGCAAATATGGCAAGCGGATGGACGCCCTGAGCGCATATGTGCAGATGGACTTCAGGAACCATCCTGGAGAGGAGGATGAAGAAGGTGAGCAGTTGATAGGTGGGGGGTTGGGGCAAG